TATGAGTTTGATAACACACTGATTCCTAGTGCCAACAATGACTTCAGTCTGATGGCAACCTTTACAAATTGCTTCCTGTAAATTCTTTGTGAGAATAACAAGCAACTCATTTCACTTGAGAGTGACTTTTAGTGACTCCACCCAACAATCTAGATCTAATAAAACAAAATATGTTTTGGTATTACAAACATCTTTTCTGAAATGTATGTACCCCACATAAGTTTTTTAAAAAGAAAAGCAATATTTTTTCATTTTCTATTTAGTGAAAGCCAGATGGATGGATCCTTATGCCTAGTCAACAATTACTTAGTTTATCTGATGAGTTCGTGGGGAAGGATAGAAGGGGAAGGAAGGTCACTGAAGAGCTACATGTGTGTGTGTTCATGTAAGATATTCAGGTTAATATTTACAAAAGACTTTAATGCCACAAACAGAACAATGTTTGGTTATTCAATCATTTATTCACTCACTTATTCAGCACAGTATTTACTGAGCACCAGGGACTGTTATAAGCTCTGGGGATACCATAGTTGAACAAAACATTCAATACTTTTGCTCTCATAAAACCTACATTCTAGTGAGGGAAAACAGATAATAAGCCTAAAATTACCCAAAGAAAATGTTTCTAAAGAGGACTCTATATATTTAATGGGCAAGATAGAAGGACTAACTGCTTACAGAAGAATAGATATTGGGAGGATTTATGTCTTTGTGACTGGTAGTCGATAACATCATGTTAGTAAATATTTAAGCTTGGCATTACTCAGACACTGTATATAATTTATGACCTAGTTCCTGAGCTCAAAGAAGTATACAATTCCAACTTGCAAGATGTTCCTGGACATCACTCAGGCAAAGAGGAAAGGAAGAACCATCAGATAATTTGAATCAGAGCTACATTGCCTTCCTGGTTACAATCAGTGGGAAGGTTAAGAATCCTTGGGCTTTTAGGATTAAAATAGGAATAGGAATTCTTTGACATTGTGTGTCTGTTCCTACTTGGTAAAAAAGAAAACCAATGTAGTCATTGGCAAGACAAAGTGTGTGTGTGTGTGTGTGTGTGTGTGTGTGTGTGTGTGTGTGTGTGTTAGAATGTCCAATCCACTTTGCTCATTCCAATTAACTCACTATTAAAGGAGATAGAAACAGAAAAACGGCTTTTTTTTTTAAAGCAGCCATAAAAAAGGACCTTGGGACTTATGAGGGGAAAATCATTAAGACTTCTTTGAGGTAACATCTCTGAAATGTCTCTTATTTCTGTTCCCACTTACTCTTTCTTCAATTTTTCTCTTTTCAATGTTCTTTGCCAGCTATAACCTTAAGTCAAGGTTTTGGATTGTTTTCATAATCTCCAGACATATTGGCCTCAGAGCTCATCAAATCAAAATCACCTTATGCTCTGCTACCCTCCGGAGCCCATGAGAACTACACCACCCACCTTCTTAATTTGACAGAAGGAATAACTTTCTTAAGCACAACCATCTTAATATTCCCACTTTCAGTTGCTTATTGTTCAAAACTGCCTTCCAACTCTCTTGTCTTCTTATTCTTGTAGGAACATTTATTCACCTAACAAATATACACTGGGCACCCACTGTGTGGCATTATGTGGGGCAACTGGGGCCTGCAAAGATGTTGCAGATATGTGGTTGCTCCCTTTATGGTTGAGAAGGAGGCCAGGTTCACAGCTATAAAACAAGGTGGAAAGATACAAGCAAGATACAAGGTGGAGGGAAACAAACGAAGTACCGTGTTTGCTCAGAAAAAGCTTCTGGCTAAGAATTGTCAAAATTTGGAAACAGCCCAAATACTCATCAGTGGAAGAATGGATTAAAAAAAGCTGTGTACATTTACACCATGTAATTCTACATGGCTGTTAAAAAAGAAGGAACTCCTACCCTTTGAGACAGCATGGATGGACCTGAAGATTATTATGCTAAGCACAATAAATCAGACAGAGAAAGACATCTGGAGTCTCTTATATGTGGAATCTAAAGAACAAAATAAACTGACGAACAAAATAGGACCAGAGGCATGGGTACATGCAACAGACTGACAGGTCTCAGAGGGGAGAAGGGTGGAAAGGATGAGTAGAGATCAACCAAATAACATATATGCATAATCCATGGACATAGACAATAATGTGGTGAAGACCTAGGAAGGACAGGGGCAGGGTGGAGTGGAGGGAGGCAAAGAGGGGGAAGTGAGGGACAGTTGTAATAGAGTCAACAATTTTTAAAAAACATTCTAAAAAAATAAAAATAAAATAAAAACTGAAAGAAGAAAAAGAACTTTAGAATGGCAGCATCGGAACAAGACTTTAAGGGGTAGATAGGATTGCAACAGATAAAGGACAGGTAAGCAGATGTAAGCTTACCTTCTTATTTACCATTTTTTAATTTTTAATGTATTATACAGTCCTTCCCATTTTTATATATAGTCTTCAAATGAGGCTTTCCAAATAAAAAATCCTTTTTAACCTCACAAATCTCTCTTCATTTCCTTGCATTAATATTGCTTTAAATCTTTAATATGTTTGCTTTTAATTTGGTATTTATCAACTTTACAGTGAAAGTTAAATAAAAATATCTAAGTCCCAATAGCAGCATGAAGTTCCTAAAAGAGAAAACACTTCAAATTTCTATGTTTTCATAAACCCTGAAGACTTTTTCCCTTCTACTGTTAACGCAAAAACAATTGTGCATTATTGTTATAAACCAGTATTCGTCATGAATTATATATACTTTTTCTCATCTGCTATTGTTTTCTATAGTCCTTTACCCATTTTATATGTTTCTCATTATGCCTGTTTTATTGTATCAATGTATCATACTTGCTGTCTTCTTATTTCCCTTTAGGCACATATGTGAGCTTTTTCTAGTTTTTAGATATACTAATGAGTGCTACATATATCCATACATCTTTTCTTTCCCTTGAATTATCTCCTAATTTTCCAAGTTAAATAAGGTAATACATGGTTAAGGTTGTGAGCACTGGCGTGCTGCCTGTGTTTGAATCCTGGCTCTATCACTTGCCATCTGTGTGAACGTGGGCAAATTACTTAACCTCTCTGAGGCATATTTTGCTCACCTAAAAAAATAGGAATAATAATAATAATAGCCACATCATATGATTAGTTTGAGAATGACATAGAATAACATATACAGATAAACCCTGAGAACTTAAAACATCATAAGCTTTCAATACTGTTATCTATTTATTATGTGTGGTTCTTAGTCTATTGTATTCTAAAACTTAATAAATACTAATTTTCTTTTTCTCATCCCAAGTTATTATAGCTTGGACAAAATGTTTGATAATTTCTATTAATCATGGAATTATAAGCTCAGGATTGTGAGAAATTTTAAAGTTTTAGTCTCTGATTCATGTCATGTGTGTCCAAGATGCTTTCCAGAAAAAGAGCATTAGCCTACAGAATCATCGGGTGCCTCCAAACTTTCATTTTTATGTATTGTTTTGATTTTATTGGTGCAAGGATCTTACCTTACTTTTATCTACATTTGTTTGATACCATTGTAACAGATGGAATCCTTGGTTTCAAGTAAGACATCTCAACCTTTTACAGGAAGGAAAGGTAGAAGTACAGCTGGGTGATTGTTTTCTCCCTCTGCCTCTGGTCTCTGCTTTTCTGTGTGCATTGGTTTCATTTTCTCAGCCTGGCTTCCTCCACATAGTAGGAAACTTGGCCAGCAGGATTCCCATGCTTCATGTAGACGGTGAGGGCACATCTACCAACTCCACATTCCCGGGGAAGGAGTCTTATTGGACTGCCTTGGATAGTTGCTCACTCCTAAACCAATCAGCTGTGGCCAGGAAAGTGGGTGCTATAACTGGTGTTCCCTGTCAGAGCCATTTGTCTTGAGTGGAAGAAAGAGCATTAATCCAAAGACAGGATACCAAATGGAAGGGCTCTGATCAGACCAAACAACAGAGTCTACCAAATCAAGCTATTAGAGGAGCTTGACATGTTTCACATCTGTTTATTGTTCTTGTGTGAACTACTCATATCTTTGACCATTGGTCATCAAAATTAATTTTCCCTTATAAGTTTATATAATTTTCCTAATAGTTTTAGAAATACTACTGTGCAACTACTGAGAAAATTTAGGATGGCATCAATAAGATTATTGTAGAACTACTATGTTCAAGGAGTTGTCCTGGGTGCCATGAATAGTTGAGAGACCTGCATCACCATGGACAATTTAGTTTCTAATGAGGTTGAACAATATCAATAAAAAGTGGAATAACAAAAGGCTGTACAATTGTGGCTCCTCAACTATGGAGACCATATTCTTAAGAATGCTGAGACAGAAGGACCTGTGGTTCAAGAACTTAAATCCCTATGGTGAAAATCATGTTGGGGAAAGGATGTTTGGAGTAAACCTTCGAAAGCCATTAGGATTATGTGGTTTTTTTGTACTAAAATGAATGACTTTTATGCATTTCAATTTAGTAATCATGATTTCTATACGGATATGCAACCCTTTACCATTTTATACTCACTAGCAGGACCTTCTTTTCTGTAGTTTCAATAAAATGTTTACAAATCATTTTGTAGGACTGTAAAAAAAATATCCATAGTAAGAAAAATGCTTTCTGGTGTTGGCCCTCCTCTGAATGTTCAAATTCTGTCTTATTTTGTGATTTCTATCAGACACACTATTTTCCTGCCCATATTCCTTACAGGCCAGGGACTTCCTACTACAGGTATCTGTGACTCTGCCAGAGGCTTCTTTCAACTGCCAGGGCAGGTGGGGGAGGGGGAAAGGGGTGGAGGCAGATTGAAAGCTCTGGGACTTAAAGTGTACCAGCTCTCACCCCTCAGGTGGGATGACTCCTGTGGGACCTACAGGGTGTCCCAGGGTCTCTAGAGGGATTGGCCCCAGCTGACCACAGCAGTAATGTGTTCAGTAACTCTTTGTATTGACTTCCTGGGATTGCATCTAAACAAACTGTTTTCATTAAAGCCTTTGTTTTAGGTCTGCTTTGGGGGAGAACCAAGCCTAAGATGAAGTTTGACTCCAGTCTGGGCCCTGCCTCTTCAAGATCTGGGTCCTCAAGAAATGTTGGAGACCTGAGATGAAAAAGCCTTTGAGAACTGATCTCTCCCAATACACAGAGCTTTGCAGCCTGGATCTGCCCATGGTAACTCTATGCCAAGTACATGCATATCTCTCTGTTCCCTCCCCACTGATGCCCACATAAAGTGCTTCCAAAGCCCAGGATTACTCCTGCTTGCCTTGGACCTGCCCAAATCTTCATTTCACAAATATTGACTTTGTCTCTGTTTTAAGTCTTTTTCTATGTTCAACCTCCATTTCTCTCTTTTTCTAGCTATCCCCATTCCCAGAAGGAATGACCTGCAATTTATATATTCCAGGACTGAAAATTTACAGTTGCTGATAAAATATAAATCTATATGCATTGAATAAAAATTATGCCTAAGAGAATGTCATGGTTAGGGAGTTTTAAGTAGTGTATTGAAAATTAAGTAGAAATATAACCTGAGTAATCAGGGAAGGCCTCACAGAGAAGGTTGGAACTCCTGGTCTAGTCCAGTCTCCCATTTTACAGATGCAGAGATTGAGATCCATGATTCAGGATCCCAAGAGTTTAGGAGTGGTGAGCTGCCCCCCCCCCCATCCCTCACCCCTCAACTCCCTCTGTTCTCCACCCCATGCTGCCTACTCACCATTGGTCCAGGGGCAGCCTTGCCTCTGCCTTTGTCTTTTGTCGGCCTTGAAATTTGCCAGGAGAATGAGGACCGAAAAAGGATGAGAACGAATAGCACATTCTTCTAATATTGTTTGTTTTGTTTTAAATCTTGGAAAAAATTCTAGTTGCATGGAATTTTTCTCTCCAGAATTAATCATGAGTAGCATACTCTTTAGCTTTGTTCTTCTGTGAAGCAGAAAACAAAATAGCCATTGTAGGCCCCTTTGTTAAACCCGAGGACTAATGACATGCTCACCCCTCCCATCGAGCAGCCCTCTGATATTGGTCTCTGTGGAGAGCACTGAGCGCCCAGGGTGGCAGACGCTGCTGAGTAAGCCCTTCCCAACCCAAACTTGGACAATTCCTCTGACTGTTCTTCAGCTTAGTCATATCAAATATTCTCAAAGAGTTCTTCCAATTTCTGTTTTTAAAATAAAAATAAAAAGACCAGCACATTCCTTTTATGTTTGTGCAAATGAAGCAGAGGCAAGAAGCTGGGGAAACTAGCAAAAAACCTTTTGATATGCAACTGGAGTGATTTCCTACTGAAGTCCTGAAATATGAATTAAAAGAAAATATTTACTTTGTTTCAGATTCCAAGATTGTATTTTTGGTATTTTTTTTACGGACTGCAGGATCAATATGCTAAGAACAAGTCTGAGCTCCATTAATAGTAACTCGGGTATACTTGGGATCCATCAAAAGAACTTTCTCTTCCCACGTTATATTTTGTTTTAAAGGAGGGAGCATCATTAGCTCACATAGTGTTCACTGTAGAACAGTGCTATTCACCATGAAGTCATTTAATTAAAAAGATAATTTCCCATAATGTAAGATTTCAGGCAACTCAATGTCAGTTGAGCAATACACTGACAGTAATATTATGCACACTGTACTGCTCTCATTTTCTGCATTGATTCGTGTTTGACTCAGATCTAATCAGGAATGTCTCACTACAGAAAACACTCTTTTTCTGTAAAGATTTTTAGGACCTAGAGTGTGTATTGCTGCCAGGTATGGATGTATTGATATTCACATAAGGCTCCCAGCCTGCCGCAGAACCTGCCTTGCAGCTATATATGTATAGTCCCTAACCAAAAACAGACAACAACAAAAGGACACAACTGCTATTACATTGCCCCAGGGTCCCTGCTTCTCCAGCAAGAAAATTATTGTAGAAAAAAAAATAGAGCCTCTAGAAAATCAGAGGTACTTACTAGTAAGAGAGCAGAGGTAGGGACGGCATGGCATGCAGGAGGCAGCAGAGCCACGTATCACTCTCACACCAATGTTTCTCCCTTTTCTTCCTATTTCTCTACAAAATCAATTTAAAAATCTTAACAATTTTTTTTGTTATTTTCTCTTCTAACTGTCTCCTGTCTATTTAATTATAGTCCAGCCAAAAGAACCTTGAGGTAGAGGAGACTTTCCTCCTCCCCCACACTTGTTAAAAGGACCAACAGTAGATAATTCTAGTGCATAGTAACCTTCTGGAAGTGGGGCAGAGGTGTGTGTGTGTGTGTGTGTGTGTGTGTGTGTGTGTGTACACCATGAAGGAACGGGACACCCTAGGAGAGGTGGAGAAAGAAGGTAAAAAAAAAAATGCCAAAGTAAATATCATTCATTAATTTCAACATGCAGCCTAAGAAAGGAGTTAACACTGCCCTCTCTCCCTCCTTCTTCATCTTCTTCTCCTAATGCTCTCCTTTCTCCTTCCATTTGAGATTTGAGTCTTGCTCAATCCTTGATCCCAGGAACAAAAATTTAAATCTATATTATTAGTACAAGAATTTAGCAGCATTATTCATTAAATTGGCTTTTCTGGAGTAGTATGCTACCAACCTACATGCCACAGTAAGTAATAATCATATTATTACTAATGACTAACAATAATAATAATTAGTATTGTCACATAATTATAATTATTATTATCATTACTAATATAATTATCATATAATTATTGTCATTCTTTTTTATCTTCTTCCTCATAATCGTCATCATCAAAGCTTCTTTGGGATACTTTGTGCCACGTTCTAAACTTTTGTCCACTGCAGCTCCCCAGTTGAATGATAAAAGAAAGTAAGGACAGTGGGTAAATAGGCAGGGCTATTGCGGACAGACCTGTGCAGGTTGGACCCTGTACTTCAGGGCTGGGCCCAGAGGGTGAGTGGACTCTGAAATCTGATCTGTGCTCTGCTTTCCCGGCAGAACACCTTGGCTCAGAGCAGCATCTGCAAGGAAGATGAGACATCGCTTCTCATTTGCACATAGGCTATGGGCTGACTGTGGCCCTGAGCCTCAGAGAGGCCTAGTGCTAATCACCAGAGTCGGGGAAAACAAACACAAGAAGATGCTAAGCCTTTCTGGAGAAGTTCCAAAACCATAATTTGGCAGCGTCAAGGCCAAGTGGGAGAAACAAGTGCTTGGGGAAATGGTGGGGAGGTGCACAATCTAGTGTTTAGGTTCAGGACTGTGACTTTAGCCAAGGCAGTTTTCATGGCATTACCGTCACCTCTGGTGTCTTCATGGTTTTTCTTGGCTTGGGCCATTATTACTTTACCTAAGATTTTTAGAAATTAAATTTGGTCATATGCTGGGTCCTACCTGTTTTGAAGTAGCTCTTAGAATCTCCTCTTTATATCCCTTTACCTCTTTAAAGTGACTAATGTGAAATTTGGTCCTTTTAACAAGTAATCTGATTTGCCTGATTCTTGATTTAACCTGAGAACATATTTAAGCAAAACTTGTTAGAAAGTGAGTCAAAGTGTGGCTCATTCGTGTGGAGCCTGTGAAGGATGTTACAGCTGCTGCAGTGAGACAAGCAGGCTTTGTTTGTATTGAACCACAGCAGTGTCTCATGCTCTTCCTTGCTCTCTATTTAGCACTCTATCTTTGTCTAATCTTCAACAAAGCATAGTCTGTGCAGGCAGTCTGTAGTAAGCATAGTGAATCAGCTGATCCTTCTGGAAGGAGGCAGCAGTGTCGAGTGTCTAAATATTTATTTCAAATATAACATATCCTGTGGTCCTCCACATCCAAAGATTTTCCTGTTTAAAGTACCTGCGACTGTGCCTAGCCGATGTGGCTCAATGGTTGAGTGCAGACCTATGATAAACCAGGAGGTTGTGGTTCGAGTTCTGGGTGGGGAACATGCCCGGGTTGCGGACTCAATCCCCAGTAGGGGGCATGCAGACGGCAGCTGATCAATGATCCTCTCTCATCATTAATGTTTCTATCTATCCCTCTCCCTTCCTCTCTGAAATGAATAAAATATACTTAAATAAAATAAATACCTGTGACTGTATAATTCACATGGCTTTTGCAATAAGAGGCCATGCAAATAGGCTCAAGTGTCACAATCACTACTAAGCTAGCCCTCACAGCTGGCCCTCTTAGGGATGGCATAAGCAGTGGTTCTCAACCTTCTGGCCCTTTAAATACAGTTTCTCATGTTGTGACCCAACCATAAAATTATTTTCATTGCTACTTCATAACTGTAATGTTGCTACTGTTATGAATCATAATGTAAATATCTGATATGCAGGATGGTCTTAGGTGACCCTGTGAAAGGGTCGTTCTACTGCCAAAGGGGTCGCGACCCACAGGTTGAGAACCGCTGGCATAGAGGAAGAAGAGCACTGTGCTTTGAGCAGGATTGCCACAATGATTGTGCATATTGGTAGGGATGCCCTGTGGCATGGATGGCTACAGATGGAGGTGTAGTAGACAGAATGGACTAGGTCAGTGGTCGGCAAACTGCGGCCCCTTGAGTGTGGCTCTTCCACAAAATACCACGTGCAGGCCCACACGTACAGTGTGATTGAAACTTCGTGGCCACACTCAAGGGGCCAAAGAGCCGCATGTGGCTTGCGAGTCGCAGTTTGCCGATCACTGGACTAGGTTATCTATAGTAACAAACAGCCCCAAAGTCTCGGTGGCTCAACACAACAGAAGTTGATTGTTTGCTCATGCTAAATGCCCAGCATGGGGAGGCAGGGAGATCCCACTGCACCTCAACATGTGCTTTTACAATTACTCCAGCTGCGAGAAATCTAGTGAACCACACGCTGGCTCTTAAAGCCTCTGCTTGCAAGTGACATGTGTCACTTCTCTTTCCATTTTATTAGCTAAAGCAAGTCACATGTACACACCTAATCACAAAGGAGGCAGAGAAATGCAATCTTACCACGTATCCAGAAGGAGGAGAGAATGGAAATATTTGGAACAACTCTAATGATTACAACTAGGGGTCATTTAGAAGGACTCCAGTGCTACCTTTGAGCTCGAGGAGCTGTCAACAGAGATTAGGAAAAACGATGTCCACATTTATAAGTCAAGTGATTACCCTCACGACATCGGTGCCTTATTTCCAGAGATAGGTATTCTCTCTAGAAAGAAAAGCAGTAAGTTCTAACTCTTCCATGTGGGTTCACTATATTTTCATCTTTAGAGTAAAGAATTTCATAAAACACAGATACCATTAACTGAGAAATAGCATAAGAGAGAGACTGATTCTCGGAGACTTCAGAAATGAAACATGACTCCAGGTAGCAGATAGACATTGCCTGAAGGGCCTACTCTTTCTAAGTATCATCCTTCCCATCTACATTTAAGTCACTTGTTAAAACTGGCGGGAATCTGGAAGCAATTCTGTTTAACAGGAGCCTCTATCCAAGACAGAGCAGGTTGGATCACAGTGGACATCTGACCAAAGCTAGGCCAGA